TTAGAAATTTTTTTTTACTACTTATAAAGTTGGTAGTTTACTTCGCGTAAAAAGAAACCGAAATCAAGTCAAGCAAGGGAACATTATTTGTGGAGCAAGGTATTGTAGTTGAGTATTCATCATTTTCTACATCCCGCAAGGAATCAACATAAAATATGTTGGTTGGTCCCGCAAAATAAAAAGTTGTTAAAAAGAATTGAAAACAGGAATTAAGATAAGTGATTATAAAGGGAGCAAAGGTAAATTATAGATGAAGATTGGTGAGCAATCATAAATTCACAAGTCGAGTGACAGATACACTTACACCTGATTTATAAACGCAACAGGTAAAATTAGGTATGATTCTTTTTAGTTTGTGGAAGCATAATTTTTGTTGCCTACCAAATCGTCCTCAACTACATATTCCACAACTTGAGATCCATCATCATTATAACAATTGATAATCGCGAGACCAACTATATACAGCGAAGTTTTAACGTCTTCAAGCCATGAATGTTGCTACATGACAAAAAAAAAATGACTGAATATTTTTGCATGCTTTGAAAATCGTCGTCCCACTTCTTTTCCTCTATAAAACGAATCACAAGATTTGGATTTCAAGGGGAACAAAAAAGCCACCCAGAAAGGTAGCATCATGCATATTAAGAAGAAACGCAAGGGAAAATGCTAACGACCAAGTGAGGAGACGCATGAGAATAACCTAAACTCTAAAATGTATAAATCTCCAAATACCAAAAAAAAAAGTGAGAGTACAGATAGATCGTTATTTTTTCTTTTCTTGTTTTTTAAAAAACGTGAAAGACTAATTATCAGATCGAGGAATCTAAAAAACTGAAAATGGTTTTTTGGGTAAGGGAGAGAGAGAAAAAATAAGAGAAAATGGTTCACGTCCTTGACAAAAAAGCATCATCACCGGCGGCTGGTAAGGGGAAAATGGTTATCAACTCTCATCCTTAGTTATATGGCGGCATTCCCTGTAAACAGATAAAAGATTTCAGCATCCAAAAGCTTTCACTCTTTTGAGCCTCAATTAAAAAAAAAAAAAAAAGACAAGGGCAAATAGCTACTAACCGGCTGATAAGGAGGAGGCGGCAGCATGTAACCACCTGGCCCTGGCCCTGGCCTAGGCGGACCATACATCATCTGCTCCTGCTGCTGCCGGTACTACATCACAATCCCATCACCATTACACTTTTTAATATATGCATATAAAACAAAACAAACAAATTTTTATGACTTTTTAAAAGGTTTTGTGAATAATGATTACCTCGGCTGGTACATTTGGAGGATAATAGGTTGGAGTGTGATGATACATCACCGGTTGCTGCCCAGGATATTGTGGTGCAATCTGCCAAATTCGTGTGGTGAGTTTTTTTAAGATATTCCCTTTCTTTTTCTGAGTAAATTTGGGCTGTATACAACAAAAGGTACTTACTCCGTAACCAACAGAAGGCATTCCAGGCATCTGCTGCTGAACAGGTACAGGATAGTAGAATGAAGCCTCTGGTATTGGAGATTGAGGCCGCGCAGGAGCAGCTTGTTGCGCTGGTATGTAACTCTTTGCATTCGGATTTAATTTGAATTCCTGAGCAGACCCACCCACCACACTCGTGATTAGTTTTAAAAAAAAAAACATACAGTTAACACTCTATCAAGTTTGAAAAAAAACAAATAAACAACCTGTGCACTCGGATTTAGACGGGACTTTCCTGATGAGGACGTAGAACCAATTGAGGAGCTTGGTGATAGTCCAGGACGACTTGACGTTGAAGGAGCTGGGCGGCTCTCTGAACTTCTAGAAGCCGACTGTCCAATTGAGCTTTCAGATTTTGTTTTACCAGAAACTTGACTGACTTGACTTTCTCTCTCAGCAGCCACCTTCGACGTCGAGGTTGCACCACCACCAGATTTTGCACCTTCGTTGTTATCTATATATCATACAATACATAACACTCACATCTACAACTTCGTTTCATAATTAGATAGAAGTTTTATGACAGGTCACCCCTTGTGTATGAAAGCAACTTCTCTAGATTCCATTTAGCAATTTAAACCAATACTTGGGCATTTTTTACCGCAACTAGATAGTCAGATGAGATGAACGTGAAATTAAATACTAGTGTCTGGCCGAGGAAACCGATCATGCTTGTAAAAATGAAAGGCAATTCTACGTCTAGACTTTTGTCGGCATCAATTGTTCAGAGGGATAAATAAAGATAATGACGCGCAGATATAGAAACAGCATAAGAAAGGAGTAGCATATACCTTCATGGCCAGAAACGGATTCCACAGATGGCTGTGCATTATTCCGAGAAGACTGACTATCACCCTGAGAAATTGTTTCTTTGGCTTCCTTTTGGTCTACATTTGTATTATTCCGAGAAGACTGACTATCACCCTGAAAGAAAATCAATGTCCATATCACCAATTGCTCTGCTATAAACTACTAGCAAAGAAAAACTCAACCATACCTGTAATTCTTCATAGCCCTTGCCACTAGAAGCTGGCTTCTGGCCATCAGAAGTAGATGAACCACCAAAAGTGAGATCGTTGCAAGTATCCAGCAATTTGTCGTCCTCCTCGTCAAACCCACTATCATCAAATACATCAGCTGGACGGACAGATGAGTATTTGGTTTCCTCGTCAATGTCATATTTCTCATTAAGCTGAAGGCCTCTTTCCTGTTTAAGGTGTTGGCAGGCATGAACAGTTAGAAATATGGACTTATTACAACCACAAATAAGAATCAGGCTGAGAATAATCCCCCAAAAATCACCTCTGCTACATGAAGATCCCGGGTGTTCTCACCCTCAATCTCTCTCGCAATCCTCACGGCATGCTCTTCCAACTCTCTAGTCCGAGGACCTCTCTGAAGTTTTGTGGTGTAGAGTTCCTCATCGAAAGTGGTCGTAACTCCAAACAGTTTCTCATTCACCTTAAATTGATTCCAGCCCCTACAGTGCGGAAACAGATTAGCTGAGAAAATATACCAGTAAAGCGCCATGTTATGGAAGGTATCTGGGAAAGAAGAGCCAGATAATTACACAGTAAAGATGGCTCATAAGAGCGAGATAACTAAGGAAACATTAGTCTTCACAAACTTATGGAAATTCACCAAGGGCTCTACCTCACAATAAGCTTAGAATATATAAATATATAAAATCTGGCTCGACAGAGATATAGAAAGAGAACAGATTTTAGATGAAGAAATATCATAATCAGAGTCTAAAGTGCAAGTATGCAAGCACAAAAATAATCTATTCATCCCACCATTCTCTAGACTAAAATTTTCAGCTAAGAAACCATGGTCTAAGGATCTAGCTGACAAATCTACATACTAACAATCCAAAAAAAAAAAATGT